TGGTGTTTGAAGCCTGACTTCAAGCATCAATAAAGTTTTTATGACTAAAGAAAAAACACATTCAGTCTTTCTAATTATCATGAATATTTCAAACATGCAATTGCTTCTGGAACCCAGATTCTAACTCCAATGCACCCCCAGACATTATATATTGTAGTTGAGCATCCTTTTGAGTGGTAAAGACAGGTCCTCTCCTGAGAAGGTGCAGTACAATCTATGCCTCTCCCATTACTTACAAAAGCCTTGACGGCTGTGGTTTCCTTACATCTGGATATAGGAGGGTTTCTAGATGTTTCTGTGTGGTTTTACTACCTTCATATTTTCTAGTGCTCACTCTCATGCAGACCATCAAGTCGGCTACTCCACACGTGTGCCCTTTCTTAGGTCCCTTCCATCATCTTTGCTCTCCCTCCATTTCTCTGATTGAGCCCCTCTAACGTCTCAATAAGAAGTATTTGGTGACCAAAAAAAGGCCCCAATGCCCACCTACTTTACATACGCTGAATGTTGTTTACCCTTCGGCCACCATCATCCATGACTACTTTCCAAACTCGATCGCATTGATATGTAAAAGGACAACTTCAATCCCCTCAGTCTTCTGATTGTATCTGGGACCATTTTAGTGCAATCTAGAGCTTTCTGCAGAGTACAGAGCACCTTGACTTCTGGCTTTCAGATGGACAAATTTATGTGCACTCTGATTCAGCTGAACTGAGCCACCAAAGTTCTAAGGTAAATCAGAGAGTGTGGTTTCTTTACCATAAGCATAATTTGAATAGGACATGCTACAGGCACGCCTCCCAAGCTTCACACGCCTTCCATCTTTGAAAGGGTGCACTTTTTCCTTTTTGCTAGAGCACCTCTTAATAATAATATTCGCATTTTTCTTCTCCAATAGGTTTTTACCTTACACAGATCTTAATGTGTATTTGTTTGTTTGTTTTTTGCTCCTATCCCTTCCCTTCAGACCCCTGCCATCTGATCAATCGTTGGCTTCATTTTTGTAACTTTAAAATGACAACAAAATATCTGCTTCACCTTAAAGACAATATACAGTTAGAATGTATCTGATGCGATTTGAAGACTAGGCAAAAGTATCCTTTTTGCAAGTCAAATGGGACTTCCCCTGATTACTTTGCAAATAGACTGTGCCTGTAATAACCAATCATTTATATCAGCAAAGACACATTTACTCTCTGGGAGGAAAAAAAAAGAAAGAGAGAGAGCGCTTCTGCCATTAAAATATTCAAGCCTTGAAACTTCCAGATGGATGGTTTCCAATTAGGAAGCAGGAGAACACAATGCTTTCATAGGTAGCAAGAAAAGAGCCTAACAAAGAGTTTCAGCTAATCCTATGTGGGAGGAAATCTCAGTCAAAAGGGGAAAAAAATCTCTTAAGAGAAAAGAACAAACTTTTAAATGCTGCAAGATGGAGAAATACAATAATTTTGCAAACCCTGACACAAACCAATGTGCAGCACCACGTGCTGGGCCAAAAAAGTCTGATCCTTATTAAAAAGTCCATAAGAGAATATGGGCTCCTTATACTAACCACGTGATATATCTGATACCCTTTCTGTACTACCCACATCATATAACTTACATCAGATCAGACCTAAGGAACAGGCAATAGCCTTTTCTCAGATGAGAGTGAGAAAAACTTTACAAAAACAATACCCTGGTCCAGATTACCAACAGAACACAGTGGCTGAAGATAGAAAAACTTGGGTTAAGATACTTAGATTTGATTCTGCAGCGTCTACTACATTTTGCCTGTGCACCCCTGAGAAAACGGTGCACTCTTTGTGGGTCTCAGTTTGCTCTGCTTTAAATTATATCAAATGAAGAGATTTCTACATAAGGAATGAGTTTGGGATAACAACATGACTCTTAGGGCACAAATAGGCTTTCATCTAATGAGACATTTACCTAGGTTTATAAAACAGTTCAAGGCAGAAGATATAGCAGTCACATCATCAGTATCTCGTCAGTAGGCCTAGCCTTTCTACAAACACATGCCTCCTTTTTCCCCTTCACTCAACGAAAGCATGGGAGTCTAAGTCATCTTGACAGACAGAAACCACAAACTTGATCTCCCTTCAATCTTTTATACTGCCTTAGTCAGAAAGGCCTGAATCTTCCATTCCAAAACAAAGCTTCCCAACCCAGGTATAGTTTCACACAACAAAGGAGGTAGACTTAACTTTCCCCCTTTATCTTTTCTGTTTCCAAGGAAACAAGACTGCCAAGCCCAAGGTCATTCTCAGTCATACTTACATCAGCTCAAGCCTGATGGTAATTCTTTG